TAGACAAATGGCAAATCTGTAGACGCGCCCATAACAACAAAAGACAATACTTTATTGAACCTTTTCTGATAAGAAGTGTGCGCTACAAACGCGAGCATTTTTAACGATCGTTTCTGCTCGTTTTATAGCGTTTAACCACAGCTGTCATCGTTTTTTTTGTCTGGCAGTGGTAGCAGATATGCGATCAAATTTCTAATTTGAGGCTGTATTACGTCGATTCTGGGACCCAACATCACAACAAGATGATATTTTAAGCTCCTTATGTAGCCGAACCTGCGCTCAGTGCGCTGGTTTGAATGGGCCGCCTCCAGTGTCTCCTTTGTTTTGCTGCCTCCAGCTAGCGCTGTGAAGTCGGTTGACCCTAGTTACCTGTGGTTGGCCTGGCTGTGCGTCACTCAGAAAACAACAGGCCAATCAGAAGAGAGGCTCATGAATATTAATTAGACAGGCCAAAGTCGACCTGTTCTCAGCAGAGCTCCTGAGAAAGAAGCTGTAAAAATATATTGAGATGGTTTTTGGTACTTATACCGCAAATATATATTCTTAAGGACATCAAAACCTCAAAATAAAACTCCAGAAAGGTGTACAATATGGGACCTTTAATTCATATTTAAGTTCAAAACAGGTCCACAAACTCTCTTCAAATATGAAAACTAGTTTCTTCTCTTGTTTTTAGATCATGGGAAAGTCCAAACAGGTTGGAAAGCACAGTAAAGGCAGGAAGAAGAACATTTCCAAGACATGGAAGACTAAGCGCAGGACGAAGGACCTTGACCAGATCCATGCAGACATGATCCCTGCAAATGCTGTCAAGTTACTAAAGCAAGATGTAGATTTTGATGTTACAGGATGTGCTCAGCATTACTGTCTGCACTGCGCGTAAGTCACACCTCACCACCCCAATGACACACCACTTTTTTTTAACCGTTTGTATTTTTTTATTTTTAGCTTTTTAAAATATTCAGCTTTTCATTTGAATTTTTTCCTTCCTTTTCTAAAGGAGATATTTTGTCAATTTGAAAACACTGAAGGAGCATTTCAAATCCAAACCTCATAAAAAACGGTGAGTCGGAACATTTTAAAATCGTTTTCTCTTTTCTCTTAATGTTGAATCTTTGGATCATACAGTTTTATGCTAAAGTTTGGGCACCCCTGATAATTATCATAGTTTTAATTTATAATCTGCTGGTCTTTCAAAGCAGCAACTTGATTTGGATATATTTTATACCTTATGGAGACAGTAACATTTCAGTTCTGAAATAAAAATGTTTGAATCAACAAAAACAATGCAATGTGAATCATAACAAAAACACACAGGTGCAAATAATTTAGGCACCCCAATGAAATAATGTCATCAATATTTAGTAGAGCCACCTTTTGCTGAAATAACAGCCTGTAGACACTTCTTATAGCCACTGATAAGGCCCTGAATTCTGGCTGCAGGTATTTTGAACCATTCTTCCTTGCAAAATGTCACTAGTTCAGTCAGGTTTGATGGCTGCCGAGCATGAACAGCTCCTAGCAATAAGCTACCTTAAACATGATTGTTTGCACGCGATTTTGCAGTGTTAAGGTTCATTGAGCTAATCAAATCAATATCATGTTGTAATTAATCAGCAATAAGAGACTACAGGTATTAAATCAACACAATTGAAAGGGTGCCCAAACTTTTGCACAACCCATTTTTATACATTCATCTTTATTCCATACAACTCAATACTGCAACACTAAGAATTTATGTCTGAAAAACATCACATTATGCTGCTTTCTCTAGAAACTGAATGGAATATCACTACGATCTTTTCTTATAATTAAAGAGCAAATTATTATCCAGCCTCAGAAGGGTGCCCAAACTTTTGCATAACACTGTATATAAAATATATTACCTGCATAAATGCAAAAAAAAAAATGTCTGAGTTTTCCATGTTTTTAAAATGATAGTCATTTTAAAAGCTTTTTTTTTGTATTTTAGATTGAAGCAGCTGAGGGAAGAGCCATATACACAGGCCGAGGCAGAGCGGGCAGCAGGAATGGGCTCCTACATCCCACCCAAAACTGTAGAGGTTCACACACAGCAGGTCGAGGAAGATATGGACTGAAAGAGCACTTTGGTCTGCCTCTCTGTGGACTCTTGCTCTTCTGGACTCAGAGCAACAATTTGACCTGTTTCAGAGCTGAAATTAGTTTATGGAGATGGAAAGTAAGTTGAAAAATATTAAATGAATTGATATTATTTTGATGAATGTTCAATGACAATTGTCTGTTAATTCAGTCTTGTTTGATTTTGGAGAAGTCCTGGAACAGCTGGCTACAGTTTCATACTTGTTGTGAAATTAAATTAGTAAAGTTTGCTTACAACAAGCAACCTTCTGGGACTGAAAGCCTCACAATGTTCATTATGTATGTGAATATAAACTCAGCAAAAAAGAAACGTGTCCTCTTTTTTTTTTTTTTTTACTATTATTTCCAGCAAATTTCTTAATGTGTAAATATTTGTATGAACATAAAAAGTTTAACAAGTGAGACAAACTAAACAGGTTTTTGATGAAAAGAAACGGAATAATGAGCTAGTGAGGAGTAAACGCTGGGATAAACGACGGGAAAAAAGCTGAAGCTGATGCTTCACTTTATAGCACTGAGACCAGTCATGAGGGAGTACGTTACCCCTAAACATTGAAAAGATATTAGGATATTATGACAACATTACTCTTAGGACATCGCAAACAATTTTTTTTTCATGAATATGACCTGATGGAGGACGGACGCGCTCAGTCATTCTCGCAGTCTCTCTCGCGCTGTTTAGGCATGTTTTGTGCCGTTGATCATCCTTAATAAATAACAATAAAAAACATTTATTCATGCTTGGGTGTCGGCTGTGAATCCAGTGGAGAGAAATCCCTCACCACTAACTGCAAACTGGCATTCAGATCTGCCTCCATTTTGTTAGCATGTCGTTTCACTCGGATATATGTCACAGTAGAGAAGAAAAGACAATATTTCATGCCGACTTTAACAGAAATAATTGTACAACAACTCTAGTCTACACGCCTTGTCTGCCTGTGGTTGAAATGTTCTTTTCGTGGACATAACACATATTTAACTGTATTAGCACGAAGGACAAAAAGACAGATCCAGTACATTCTTTGGCCCCTAAACGTGTAATTACGGTCGTACATTATAAGCCGTTTCAAAACCTACTTGGCTGCCTAGCTAGACAGCATTTTGGCCAACTTAGGCACGTTCCGAATGTTGGCTAGACAGGCAGCTCACTAGATTTGAACAAACGCCCATCGAGTTCAAAGGCATGAATGTGCGCACTGGCCCTTTAAGAGCGACAGACATGATCCACAAGCAGGAGAAGCAGGAGTGATTTCCTCTCGCGCCGCTACGATGTAACGGCTCACCGGAGACGAGCCTATGACTACAGAGTGACTTCACTTAAGTGTTTTTATATCACCCTGGGCTATTTGTGTGGCCCATTAGTGATTTACAGAGCAGATAGAGACGTTAATTAGAGGATGGCCGCAGACGTGGATAAAACTCGTGCCGGAGAGCCAAAGGATGATCATGAAGAAGATCGCGCGACTCCATCCAGCAGACGCGCCCGCTCACGTTTCAAGAAACTCTCCAGTTTATTTCTAATCGCTGCTGTTCCTTTCTTCGGCGTTTGCATTAAATATTACCAGGACACCCAGCTTGTGAAACGACATGTAAGTTAATACCAGTTGGGTCAGAATTTCATTTCAGTTTGACCCGTGAAGGAGGGATGCTTTTCAGAGCCATGAGAGATACTGCAGCTGTTCAAGCCACATGTAGTCCTTGCAGTTGGTTAAAATGCAATAAGTTTTAGTTTTAAAAATTGCTCTTCTAAGAATTTTTTTAACTGTCTTTGCCACGTCTTTTTTTGTTATGTGGGAACAGTAAACTTACATCTGGTGCTCCAGCTGCCCGCTGTTTTATTAGGGTTGGATAGTTGCCACAGCTGGGCAAGACCGTTAGAACAACAACCCCCCTCTTTCTCATATATCTGTGTCGCTTCCTATATTACCCAGTTTCTCCAGGCTGCCGTCCTACTCGGACTGATAATAGGCCCAGACACAACATAAAAATTATGTCAGGAATTCAGTTAAAAATAAACAGACGTAGACATCATTGTGTCCCGTTGCCTTGGGATAAGTATTCTGTTGTCCTTTCTAGTGTACAACTTTCTTTTGAGTCGAATCTTTTGAATGAATCAATTGAACCGGTTCACAGAACCTATCTGAATGATTCGTTGACGAATTGGACTGAATCAGAGTAGTTCTGGGCTGCGTTCCACTCCACTTTTAGACACGCACTCGCGAACTTCCCTAAGCACTTCCCCTCGGGGGAATCCCCGCTGCCATTTTGAAGTGCGTTCCACTCATAGACTGTATAAAAACAGGTTCCACTTCGTGAAGTGGACGAGGGAAGTTTATATGGACAGACACTCGACCCCTTGATTTTGACCGAGGGAGCGAGTCTGCTTCATATGCACACTTCAGGCCGCTCCATAGACCACAATGCAACACGATTGTGACGTCATCGCAGATCGCGTTTATTTTATCCCCACCCCAAACAACTCTATAATATATATAAAAAAAAATTAACATTTATAACAGCCCAAACATACCTATATACATATAGAATGCTGCACCAAACAAATTCATAAGGGAAAAATGTAAACAATAAACCAACTCCATAGCTGATTCGAACGTGTGTGGTTCGTAATTAGCCGAGAACCGAAGAGTAAACGAGTTGAAAAAAATTAAAGCAAATTATTTTTTATAAGAAGAATAGCAGAAATGGTAAAAATGAAAAGTACAAAAATCTTGTAGTTTTTATGAAAGTTAGTAAATAGCAATTTCACTAAACCATACAAATTATATATATTTATTTATTCAATAAACACAAAAACATAATAAATAGCATTTTATTAAAGCAGTTATTTTACCTCATGATGTATTTGTTATTCCGTGGTCCTTGCCATTTTTAATATTTAATAAAATGGCACAATGTCAGGGAACACGGGATAACAAATACATCCTGTGGTAAAATAATTGCTGAATTGTTTGCTGAACCGGTTCTTTGAAACAGACTGTTCAAAAGAACTAATTGCAAAATGATTCTGTTTTTCCATCACTGGAGCAGCCCGATAACAGATGTGGATTAGCTGAGATTTGTTTTCTGTTGCAGGAGGCAGGATTGAAGGCGCTGGGAGCAGATGGACTCTTTTTCTTCTCATCCCTGGATACCGATCATGACCTCTATCTCAGTCCAGAGGAATTCAAACCTATTGCAGAAAAACTCACAGGTATTATTCTTGGTGTCTGTGCACTTGCATTAATGTCCTTTCACAAGTAGATATGTCTATTGAAGCAGAATTAAGATGCTTCAAGGCTATGTTCTCCATTGTAAGGTCCGCGCACCTGGCCCAACGAAGGTACCCAGTGGCGGATGAAGGTCTCTTGCGTGTTCGGTCTTTTCAGCGCGCAGAGTTATTCAATTAATGTAGAAAACAGAATTCCAGCTGAGAGTTTTAAAGCATTGTTGCAAATGCCTGATGTCCATCTCTGTTGCCTGAAGGTGTGGCACCTCCCCCAGAGTTTGAAGAGGAGATACCACATGATCCGAATGGAGAGACACTGACCCTGCATGCTAAAATGCAGCCGTTACTACTGGAAAGCATGACTAAGAGCAAAGATGGCTTTCTAGGGGTAATTTAAACATTACACATTAATAAATTCATCTGAACTGCTAACAAGGTTATAAACAGACAGGGTGATGATTTAAAAAAATATTTAAAAAATGTAAAATACCAATAATAAGAAATTAAAAAGTACATGAAATGTATTAAAATGCTAAGCTTAACATAATAAAAAAAATTATAGAACGTGGACTATTACAAGTTGCTTACCCAAAATGTGCTTATGAGGTAAATTGAGAGCAGTGTCTTTCTCATCAGGTTTCACACAGCTCTCTTAGTGGGCTGAGATCTTGGAAACGTCCAGCTGTTCCTTCATCCACGTTTTATGCCAGTCAGTTCAAGGTCTTCCTGCCACCCAGTGGTAAATCGGCCCTGGGAGACACTTGGTGGATCATTCCCAGCGAACTGAACATCTTCACCGGCTACCTTCCCAACAACCGCTATCATCCTCCCACACCACGAGGCAAAGAGGTACAAATATACCTTTACATTTTTTAATTAGTTCAAATTAGATGCTTGAGCTGAATCACATCAACAAAACTCTTTTAATTTTATATTACTTTGGTTTAACCACATTGTTGAAAAATGAGTGATCTGAGGTTGTCAAGATCTATTTGATCAAGAAGACTGATTCAGTTTCTGTTTAGTTGGTGGATAGATGATGTGATTATTTCATTTCTCTGCAGGTACTGATCCACTCTCTGCTGAGTATGTTCCACCCGCGGCCTTTTGTGAAATCCCGCTTTGCTCCACAGGGTGCTCTGGCTTGTATACGGGCTGCTAGTGATTTCTATTATGACGTTGTTTTCAGGTGAGTTAAAATAAAACATGCTGTCATGTTTGAATAAGGTTTTTGTAATCCAGAATAAAAGGGATTTTCTTAAAATCAAGAAGAATTTAAAGAATATCTGATTGTAACTTCAGTTTTAACTTTTATTTTAAATTTGAGCCTCCAACTGAATCTTATCTTATTGCGTTACTAATTACAGAATCCATGCTGAGTTCCAGCTAAATGATGTTCCAGGCTTTCCATTCTGGTTCACTCCTGGGCAGTTTGCTGGTAATATCATCCTCTCCAAAGATGCTTCTCACGTCCGAGAGTTTCACCTCTACGTCCCAAATGACAAGTCAGTCTTCTCTCCACTATTCCCAACTCCAAACACTTTTAAGGTGCTGAGTGTATGGCTGCGTAATTAATCGTGATCATGATTTCTGTTTCTCGAGATTATTTTAGCATAATTGCCTGCAATATTTGCCCTCTGGTTCCACATGCTTGCATATTGTTAGAAAAACATTTAATTAAACTAATAATTTGGAATAACTAGAAATTTAACCGTTTTAGTTCTTAATAATGTAGAGACCGTTTTAAATATGACGCACAAAATGACTTGACATTCTTTTCATTTGTAAAAGTGCAATAATTATTCAGATTAAATGTAAAAAGAAATTGATGAATAATTGCGGTCAACTTTTTTTTTTTTTTTAGCAAAATAATTTTGATTATCAGTTTAACCATTATTCGTGTGTTTTATGTGGCAGATCTTTGAATGTGGACATGGAGTGGCTTTATGGGGCCAGTGAGAGCAGCAACATGGAGGTGGATATTGGATACCTGCCTCAGGTTTGTGCTCATGTTTACGCAGAACATCTGAGGGTTTTGATTTGTGGTATGCATAATACAAAAGTGCTTCTCCTGACATTTTGCTGTATGCTTTTTAGTCAGTTTTTTGATAAGTCAAAGCCATCCATTGTATTCTTAGCTGAAATGCACAAAGTAAATGGGCTGTATATGTTTACAGATGGAGCTCAGGGCAGAAGGTCCCTCCACTCCCTCAGTGATCTATGACGAGCAGGGGAACATGATTGACAGCCGAGGGGAGGGAGGAGAGCCCATTCAGTTTGTCTTTGAGAAGATTGTCTGGAATGCAGAGCTGAGCAGAGAAGAAGCATCCAGACATCTTGAGGTCACAATGTACCCATTTAAAAAGGTGAGTCCCCTGACTCTCAATCAACAAACTCTTTTTCTGTAGATTCATTTTCACAGATTCATACTTATACATCTTGAAATTTGTTGTTAAGAGTCTGCAGCAACACCACCCTGTTAAATATGCTGGCTAGGTATGTTTTGAAGCATGGCTGCTGATTTGAGCTGGTTTAAGCTGGTCATGTGCTGGTCCTAAGCAACTAGCTCCTGCTCAGGACCAGCTCAAACCAGCAGCCATGCTTCAAAACACACCTATTTTTCCAACAGGGTGAACAGATGTTCTTTAAGATAAATTTTTTGGTGATGTTGGTTGAGTAGTTGTTTAACAGATCAATAGAAATGTTTGCAATGTTGTCATTATCAATCTCATCAGTGGGTTTTCTGTTTGGAAGGTGCCATATTTACCATTCAGTGAGGCCTTTAGCAGAGCTGATGCAGAGAAGAAGCTGGTTCACTCCATCCTGCTCTGGGGGGCCCTGGATGACCAGTCATGCTGAGGTAAGACACCCAAAAATGGCAATAACAAAGAATACAAACTACTGGAGCAGTTAAGTTTGGCCACAATGGTCAGCATGACTTTATCTTAATATCTGCTGACAGTGTTATAGCTAGAGTTCTAGGATTCTTTCAGCTACATTAGAGGTTTCTCTCATTTGCGTTCTGTGCATTTCCTCCTTATCTGTGTTAGGTTCGGGGCGGACTCTTCGAGAGACAGTCCTCGAGAGTTCGCCCATTTTGGCCTTGCTCAACCAGAGCTTCATCAGCAGCTGGTCTCTAGTCAAAGAGCTGGAGGATCTGCAGGTGGGGAGTTTGGGTCATTTAGCTGACACGTTGTTAAGCTAAATGAAGTTGTCCTTATTTAGACTAATGAAGTGTTTAACCTTGTGTTTAACCTAATTTAGGGTGATAAGAAGAATCTGGACTTGAGTAAAAAGGCTCGTTTACATTTGGAAAAGTATACTTTTCCAGTGGAGATGATGGTGGCGCTGCCCAACGGCACTGTGGTGAGTCTTCTTTAGCTTTCTTAACCAGCTGGGTCAGTCTGTGCCAACTGCTTGTTTCAATGAATGTCACTCTAACTTCTCCAGGTGCATCACATCAATGCTAATAATTTCCTGGACCAGACATCCATGAAACCAGAAGAGGAAGAGGGGCCTGCTATCAGTTTCTCAGCAGGTTTTGAGGATCCTTCAACTTCCACATACATTCGCTTCCTACAGGAAGGACTCAAAATGGCCAGACCTTACCTGGAATCGTAAAACTGTTTCTCTCCAGAAACATTTGTGCATGTTAGAGATAAATGAGGGGAGTATATGAGGGAGAAAGAAAGGAAGTCTGATATCAGCTCTGCTCCTCCATGTCTGATTTTAGGAACGGAATGTGGAGGAGCTGACACAATTTCTTCATTGAGAAGGCAGCTGGTGGCCACATCTTCGAGTGACATATTCCATGTAAAAGTGCACAATATAACATCATGTTGTCACAAGTGTGGTATGTCACACAGTGAAACCTAAAGGGTGTTTAACTGTACACAACAACACAATCTCAATTAAGTCATATATTTTTATCTGGAAAATTTGCCGATTTTGTGCAAACCTTACACTTCCTGAGTGACGAATGTCATTAGTCTGATCCATTGTTCAGACTAATGAACTGAAATGGCATTATGTTGTATATTGATCTGATAAAACCACTTTTATACTTTTGTTCGGTGTTGTTAATCAGTTTTATTAGGTAATGAGTTAATGAACACTGTTTTGTCGGACTATAATTTGACATTTTTAGAATCATTTTTTGCACAGATAACTGATATTATTACCATTGTAAGAGTTATTTACAGAAAGGAGGTTACAGGCTAGGACTTTTTGTGGATGTCTAAGAAAGGTTTGTTATACCAAAAGCCTCTCAAGACTTGAAACATGCAACCCTGGGGTTTGTGTGATGTTTATGTGTGTGGTATTCAACCCAAAGTCATTTTAGTCTTGGTTTTGTTTTGGCTTGAGTGATGAGAAACCTTTTCCATGTGTAAAAGTACAGCTGTGGGTTTAAACTAATGCCTAAACCAGTGTTTATAGCTGATGCTGTGCTTACTAACAGCGGATGTGGCTTTAATCAGTGCTATTTAGTCAGGGCGTTGCTTATTTTTGTTGAATCCTAAATGAACACAGATAAAAAAGTTCCTCATCACAATAATATTCAAGCTGTAACTAGACCTGCAGTAACAATGTAGGATCCACGATCAACCTCACCAGTACAAACATGTACCGCTCAGATAATGTTGACAGAGTCCTCCATTCTGTCCCAGAATTCACCTAAAGATATTATTTCTCATACAATGAAGTGCACACATTCAAATAATGAACTGGACCCAAATGCATCTTAAATCACAGGACGAAACAGATTTTTTTCATCATGATGGTAAAGATGTTAGGTGAGCTTTCATTCCCTTCAGGCAGATTATTCAGCGTTCACAGTTTGCAGTGTCTTTCCTTTGATTTACAGGTGTCAGTAAACTGTGGAGAATTAGTTTATCTGTTAATGGCCATATTTCCACTAAATCATGATGTTTTAGATTATTTTCAATGCTTGTTGTGTCAGCCGAATGTCCAGGCTTCCAACTCCAGAATTGTGAAGTCGCTGGTCTCAGACAGGCTGCAGTTATTAAAGGTGAAACAGGGGCTGCTTCTGCCCAAGAACAACCTCTCGTCCACCCACAAACCAAAGTGACCACTGGGATGAAAAGAAACAAATTTGGTTTATAAGTCTAAAATTTAGAAGTAGTAGTATGCAGCTCTGCATTCAGATTTGCACATTAACAGAGTACTAATATGTACCTTCCTCCTCCAATGGCAAAAGAGTCCAAATCTCCTTTGATAAAAAACGAGTTTTCTCCAGTCCAACGGAAACACTTAGGAAACAAGGAAACAAATGTAAAGTTGAAGGTGTTTAAAAGATATTGTCATTGTAAACCTGTCTATTGGTTTTCCTCAATGACAATAAATATGCTCAAATGTGTCTTTATTGGAATTTACCTTAAAGCGTGGATGAGACAGGAACAGGAAGGTCTCTCCAGTGCCATAAAATGCTTCACTAGGATGCAGCGGATGTGAGAGGAAGCTCCCAAAAACCTGAGAAGTAGTAAAAACCACTCAATAACGAACCAAAACAGATTTACAAAAGTAAAACATCTGTCTTAGGTCAAAATTACAAGTGGAAGCAATATTTCAATTTATTGTGGGGAATTAACATCACATGAAGTGATCATTGACCATCAGATGTCCATTCTGATTAGAGCTGTATAAAAAATGTACGACCTGCTGGTTGAGGTCCTTGATGAGAATCAGCACAGGCGAGTCGGTGGTGCTGAGTTTCCTGTAAAGAGTCTTGAGACTGGCCCCGTGTTTGTCCGTGCTGTAGGACAGCTGCCATGTGTGTCCGATTGTACGAGGAGGCAGCTCTTTTGAGATCTGAGAGAAAACATTTTACTACGGATTAAACACACTGGGCCTCCAGAATCAGGTCAAGTCTTTACTTTGCAATCCTGCATGAATTTGGCTACGCATTAATGTTGATGTATGTTAGTGCGTACTGACCTCTCTAACTTGTTGGGCATCCAGGATGACACTCTGGTTCAGAATGTGACTCAAACCTTCTGGTTCAGTAGAGACAGAAGCTTTCGGCACACTCTCCTCCACTGACACCATCTGTACAGGAACAACATGTGTATGATGACTCACCAACTCATACATTACTGTTTTATAGTCTGGGGTCAGTAAGTTTTGTTATTTTTTTATTTATTGAAAGACATGAATACTTTTATTCAGTAATGATGCATTAAATTGATCAATAACAAAGTGATAATAAACAAAGACATGTATTTAAAATATTGTTCTTTTAAATTTTATGTTCATCAAAGATACCTGAAAAAAAGTATCAATATTTACATTCAACAATAAACATTAATATTCGATAAGAAATTCTTCTTGAGCACCAAACCAGAATATTAGAATGATTTCTGAAGGATCATGTGACACAGGAGTCATGGCTGCTGAAAATTCAGCTTTGGGAATAAATTAAATTTATAGAAACATTAATTTTAAACTGTAATACTTCACAAATATTTTACTGTAATTTGATCTTTAAAAAAATCTTGCTGATCCTGAACAAAAATGTGCTGCTATTATAAAGATGACCTTTATACACACACTTTCAACACTGCCATGTGTCAAATAAACAACAACAGCTGATGCTTAAAAGCACATTCAATACATTTCCATTATGCTGTCTTAATAATCCTCAGTGGTATTAGACTTTTTGAACCCAAGAACAACTGCAATTTTATTAACTACTGTGGATTCATACCGCGGAGCTGTTCGTCTGCTTTTTTTCCCTCATGTTTGTGGGATAGGTTTACACCAAATTACACAAATTAAAATCTACATATTCAAATATTCTTTGACCTGTGGGTTCATTTTGTGTCTTTACATTTTCGACTAAATAGTAAAAAAATAGTATATTTAAACAGAATAAAAAGCTTTATAAGAACTTGTGTATTAAATAAAAAATAAACTCAAGTTTCAAAGTTCAATTTCAAAGTTTTTATTCATTATGCAATAAAATGTACTACACAAATACTTGTTTAAATGTACAAATAAAACACCAAATATCCTTTAAAATTCTTATTTACATATTTGCATAAATACACAAAAAAGTATACACATATTTGCAAAATAAACATACAGTGGGGCAAAAAAGTATTTAGTCAGCCACAAATTGTGCAAGTTCTCCCACTTAAAAAGATGAGAGAGGCCTGTAATTTTCATCATAGGTATACCTCAACTATGAGAGACAAAATGAGGGAAAAAAAATACAGAAAATCATATTGTAGGATTTTTAAAGAATTGGTAAATTCCTCGGTAAAATAAGTATTTGGTCACCTACAAACAAGCAAGATTTCTGGCTCTCACAGACCTGTAACTTCTTCTTTAAGAGGCTCCTCTGTCCTCCACTCGTTACCTGTATTAATGGCATCTGTTTGAACTCGTTATCAGTATAAAAGACACCTATCCACAACCTCAAACAGTCACACTCCAAACTCCACCATGGCCAAGACCAAAGAGCTGTCAAAGAACACCAGAAACAAAATTGTAGACCTGCACCAGGCTGGGAAGACTGAATCTGCAATAGGAAAGCAGCTTGGTGTGAAGAAATCAACTGTGGGAGCAATTATTAGAAAATAGAAGACATACAAGACCACTGATAATCTCCCTCAATCTGGGGCTCCACGCAAGATCTCACCCCGTGGGGTCAAAATGATCACAAGAACTGAGAGCAAAAATCCCAGAACCACACGGGAGGACCTAGTGAATGACCTGCAGAGAGCTGGGACCAAAGTAACAAAGACTACCATCAGTAACACACTGCGCCGCCAGGGACTCAAATCCTGCAGTGCCAGACGTGTCCCCCTGCTTAAGCCAGTACATGTCCAGGCCCGTCTGAAGTTTGCTAGAGAGCATTTGGATGATCCAGAAGAGAATTGGGAGAATGTCATATGGTCAGATGAAACCAAAATAGAACTTTTTGGTAAAAACTCAACTTGTCGTGTTTGGAGGAGAAAGAATGCCATACCTACTGTGAAGCATGGGGGTGGAAACATCATGCTTTGGGGCTGTTTTTCTGCAAAGGGACCAGGACAACTGATCCGTGTAAACGAAAGAATGAATGGGGCCATGTATCGTGAGATTGAGTGAAAACCTCCTTCCATCAGCAAGGGCACTGAAGATGAAACGTGGCTGGGTCTTTCAGCATGACAATGATCCAAAACACACCGCCCGGGCAACGAAGGAGGGGCTTCGTAAGAAGCATTTCAAGGTCCTGGAGTGGCCTAGCCAGTCTCCAGATCTCAACCCCATAGAAAATCTTTGGAGGGAGTTGAAAATCCATGTTGCCCAGCGACAGCCCCAAAACATTACTGCTCTAGAGGAGATCTGCATGGAGGAATGGGCCAAAATACCAGCAACAGTGTGTGAAAACCTTGTGAAGACTTACAGAAAACGTTTGACCTCTGTCATTGCCAACAAAGGGTATATAACAAAGTATTGAGATGAAATTTTGTTATTGACCAAATACTTATTTTCCACCATAATTTGCAATAAATTCTTTAAAAATCCTACAATGTGATTTTCTGGATTTTGTTTTCTAATTTTGTCTCTCATAGTTGAGGTATACCTATGATGAAAATTACAGGCCTCTCTCATCTTTTTAAGTGGGAGAACTTGCACAATTGGTGGCTGACTAAATACTTTTTTCCCCCACTGTATAGGAAAGAATATTTTCATAAAAACAATATTCAGTGCTACAGTGATTTGTTACGTGTGTTTTTTTGCCCAGCCTCATACAGTATTTGATAGATCTTGAACTCAACCTCAGACTTCACCTGAGGATCAATTTTTGCCAACATGTCTGCAATAACAGCAACAAATCTGAAATCCTCACTGTCCTGCTGCATGGCCCTCTCCCTCTCCCTCTCCCAGTCCAGCTGCTCCAGTATCTTCAGCAAGGCGTCTTCAGTGGTAGACTTTCTCTTAGGCATTAAGTCGGTAGAAGATGGTGATGCATTGGAACAGGGTGAGATGCTTGGGGCAGGGAAGGCTGAAATTGAACAAGGCGAGGGGCTGCATTTGGGTGATGGACAGGGT